AGCCGCGCCGGCGTCAGCGAGCGAGGCGACTGGTGAGAAATATGCCATGGTCCATTGCGGCGCTGCGCGGAAAGGTGGATGGTTGATCTTCCTCACCACTATAGCTGCTCTCCCCATGCATACTACAGAGCTACTTCAGAGCTGACGCGATTTCCGATCGCCTTGAGCTCAATGGAGATGACGGATGGCTTCACCTTGCCGCAACGTAAAGGCTGATGCGTAGTGCTTGCTCATGCTTAAAGAGGAATGTTTTAGGTTAATTAAATGCTTCATATGGTTTGCCACCCCTAGCGAGGTAAACTTTAATGGGACACTTCACGGACGGAGTGCCTTTTTTCAAGGCCACCCCTGTTCTTCAGGACACTAAGCTGCGGCATCATACGATCCAGCACTTCCAACTAGTTAACGCAGCACTTTCGCGTCAAATCGATTTTTGCATCCTATGGCTTTCATTTCGCGGCTTCAAACCGATGAGCGATGAGCAAAATAGGCGGTGACACTCCAAGTATGAATAAAGAGAAATCAACCAATTGACTGTTTTTCAAGAGAAGGCCGAGAAATCAAAGCCACAACACGTAAACCGCCATCGTACAACCGATTTGACGCCAAAGGGCTATGTCAGATCAACTGTTCAGTTAAGTTGTTTGAGCGAGAAGGCGCACCTCCTGAAATGAGCCGAGCCCATAAGTGCCCTAAAGCAGTTTCTAGTACTTGAAGCTCCTCGACAATATATCTTAAAATCAAGGTTCATATTTTCAGTCTGAAGAACGTACAGCTCGGAAGAAAACGCCTTTCAGGAGAATGCGCGACAAATGATCAGATAGGAACCCCTTAGGCGCGCAAATTAGTGAATCGTTCAGTCTCTCGAATCGCGGACCCGTTGTATCAGAAAGTTCTTCTTATGCGCAAAGTATAATGCAACCTAACGACAGTTCCTAATACTGCAAAAAAATCATAGGAGTAATCGCTCACAGTTTGTACTTCTTGTTCTCTTATGTGCTGGGTTGTTGTCCTTCTCCTTATTCCGTTGATTATTCTTGCTTTCTCCATCGGCTTTGGCACCCTGACTCAAGCTCTTTCTTTCCGTCCAATCTTTGCGACGTGGGCGATCTTAACGAGTTCTTTTTGAGAAAAATGAGATGAATTTTTCTCAAGATCTACAGCAAACAAAATATTGTGAAGTAGACATTTTGCGTCCAAATCTTTGGAATAGAGGAGGATTGATGCTTGCACGCAGCATACACTATGAAAATTCTATGCCTGTCCTACTACGCACTATTTACGCACACCTTCACACATCTGCGACTGAGCGCTATTCCTCTAGCCGGATCTCCGTGACAAGGCACGACCCCGCCGCTAGGGAATATATTTTCGAAATACGATCCCTCAAAATGTCTGGTAGACTCTTCTTCCCCATCCCCCACTGTTTTGTCAGCTTTCCCACCAAAAAAATGCCATCGAGAGTTGGAGGGAGCAGGAGTATAAAGCTTACCTTGAAGAAAAAACCCGGCAATTGCATGTATTGGACAGTGGCGATCAATTAGAAACCTATAGTCGCTTAATGGCTCTCCAAGGAAAAAAAGCAAAACAAAACATGGAGAACACCGTAAGCAGAGACCTGGCAGCCTCCCAGGACTCCTCTGGACCTGCTCGTTTTAATCAGCAAAGAGATATCTTGCCACTTCTCGCTCAATAATCGTTTCATCCATTTCTAATATTGTCTAAGTACGAAAAAAAGGAAACGTGGTGTAAAACTGAACTTGTGGCAGAGACTAGCCCTTGAGTATCGGTGGGCGGGATGGGCAGGACAACTGAGAAGGCGTCAGATATGCCACTTATTAGGGCCATAGCGCCTACGTCACCTAGTGCGAAGCCGCGAAATTGGGATCTGGACACAGAAGGCCAGACTATTTGTACAAGGAGTGACGCTGACAAGTTCTTGAGCGCGTAGATTATCTCTAAAACTGGAAAACCTGGAAACCCTCTCCCTCTAGCAACCGAATACAACCCCTTCTCGCTGGGGGATCCCAATGTCGCACCACGTGCCCCGCCGAAGGCCCACAAATTTGAATAATTGTGACTGTCTAAGTGTGAGCACATCTACAGAACCCAGCCCACCGGCCTTTTCCTCTTCACAGATTTCTATGCCATCAGCAGCATGCGAAAAATCGAAATGCGGACTGAAAATGGTTCTTCTGTAGTTACCCACCTTTGTTTCCCGACTGACTATTGGTTCGACTTCCACTACGCGATGAATCCGCGCCATCTCCATCTCCTTTAGTGTTCGAACGGCGACGATGACGGTTGTTGTTCTGAAAGACCACAAGTTAAATCATCAGTGGAGAGGGACACTTTGTCCATTTTCGCGCACTTATGAAGCTCAAAACGTTCCCCACTGATTCCAAGTTAGAAAAAAAAACAGACAAAAAAATAACTAGCGCACCTTGTGGTGGGAGGCGGGCACACTTTTCTGATCAGGCTGATCCCCCGTTGCTTTTGTTTCCACGGGAGGATCGCCTTCCTGGACTGGTGTTGACATTCGACAGCTTGATTATGGGGCCAAATTCAAGGTATCCGCGCAATTCTCGAGAGGAATCTACAGCAACCCTGAAACGAGGTAGTTTGACTTTGCAATAGTGTTTACTGAGAAGTTCGAAGAAAGTGCGATTGATTTCTTTACAAATTTATGAATTGTATATCGATTTTTTGACAAACAGGACCACAATTTGGCGATTTATCTTCCAGAAGAGGAGCACTTTCTTGCTTCTTGGATGGGATTTTTACAACTTAAGTTCCCCATCACATAAGCGCTGAAGTCGCGACTCAATTGTCTGGCGGACTGACGATTTTCAAAAAGTCAGAACTGGCCACGATGGGCAGTTTTGGCTAAAAATAGCTAGTCGGCAAAGCCGGTTCGATGCACACCGGTCAAAAACTTCTCTGAAAAACTGGAAGGTCGAGAGGTGTCTTTCTGCATGGTACCTTCAGTATCTTCGGTGATCCCCATCTCGAACAAGGCAATTTCGGCCATCGCGCTCTGGGTGAAAAATCACTTTGAAGAAATTCCCCACCCCCCCCTCAAGAGCCCACTCCTCTACATCGAACACCGCGTTCCCTCCATCCCACCTGCCACATCGTCCTGATTTTCCGCCAACTCCCTCGATCCACTTGTCTGGAGTTTTTTATTTTTCCACAAAACATCCGCTTTCTTCCTCAGTAAACAGAATGCCTGTAGGCGAGGGAGCATACAGCACAGGAAACAGAAAAAAAAACCGGGAAGTAAGCAGCAGAAAACATTTTCCACAAAGAGCAAATACAACCCCCTCCCTTCAGTGACCAGGTACGAACTCTCTCGCCGAGAATCCCCAACGTGCGACGTGCTTCGGCGGAAAGTCAGGAAGTTGTAATGGAAGAAAGGAAAAGAGGGAAGGAGTGAGAAATAAGGATGGAGAAAGGAGGCCTCGCGGTTGACAGATATCCTGAGACGCAAAAACGATAGTCATTGTGACGGCGGCCCTAGCTATCAATTAGGCAGCGCAGACTTCGCTATGACGCAGCAGCGTTCACATTTCGCGACGGCAGCGCTTCGGTCGCGTGTTCGATGCGCATGCTTTCGACTGCGTCGATCGCGTCTAACGCGCGACCGAGGCGCTACCGTCGCGAAGTCTGAACGCTACCTTAGGCATTGTTCACGGTCTGCGACCCTGACGAAACGGCGGTTGGGAAATGCGTATCGATTTCGCTGGCGTTCGTCGAAGGCGAAAAACGTCGCGGTATGGCGAAACGCCCGTCGATTCGTATCAAAACCCTTTCGCCCAACCGCCAGTCGATACGTATCAAAAGCTTTTCGCCGAACCGCTGCGTTCCAGAGAAACGCAGCGAGAAGCTGGGCCGCGGCAATCGATCGGCGCCGGCCGCCTCTTCTGAAGAGTATAGAACAACAGAAGGGCGGGCCTTCATACAATCTATTACTCATCCGTTCCGTCCTATACTTCCAAAAAGCCCTAGCGACTGATGACGATTTCCAGACTACATGCCTGGGCAGCGTCCCTCCTGTTCCCTCTCACAAAAGCAACAGGCGCCGATCGATTCTGGTCTGCAGCTGCATTTGCTGACATAGCACTGGAGGGCTTTGCAGCTGTAGCGCGTTGTCGCCCGCTACAGCGCGCCGACGTGCGTTATCGCAGTCTGAACACTGCATCATGTAGTGGGCTATATAATTAAGGCACAGTCTTCTTTCTAAAACTCCAATCAGTCACTTTACACTTCTTGTAGTTGCTATGTACTGAGCATATGCGGGTAATATTCAGAATCTCTGGGCTTTCACCTGGAAAAAGAACCCCACCTAAATCAGTTATTGGAATGGTAAAGAAGTCAAGTATGTTCGTTCCATGAAATGCTG